ATGGTTAAAGACGTTAAGTCAAGTGAAAATCCGCATCACAATCATAATAGCATCGTTTCTCGTGAGCAGCTTACTCATGATCAAAGGCTTAAGCTTGATCTTTTGGTGAAGGACATGGAAGGCGAGATTGGCAAAGGTCTTGGGAGAACGACATATATAGAGCACAGAATCGATACAGGTGACCATCTTCCGGTAAATCAGAGGCAGTACCCTTTTGCGCCTCCCATCATGCGAGAACTTGAAGCTGAAATTAAGGAAATGTTGGAGAACGATGTAATTGAACCGTCGTTCAGCCCATGGCGTTCTCCGGTGTTGTTGGTAAAGAAAGCCTCGGGTAAAAATAGATTGTGCTTGGATAGTCGTCAATTAAACAAAATTACAAAACGTGACTCATATCCTTTGCCGAGAGTGTCCACTATCTTAGATAGTCTCAGAAATGCTAGATTCCTTTCAACTATTGATCTGCGATCTGCGTTTTGGCAGATTCCTCTTGAAGAATCAAGCAAGGAAAAAACTGCTTTTGGATTAGCTGGGAAGGGACTTTACCAGTTCAAAGTAATGCCATTTGGCTTAAACAACGCCTCCCAAACACAGCAACGCCTCATGGATCGTCTATTTAGGGATCATGAAGACAAAGTTTTCACTTATTTGGACGACATTGTCATTTGCACTAACACTTTCGAAGAACATTTAGATACCCTTACTTGGGTCAAATCTCAACTAAAAGCTGCAGGTTTAACTATCAACCTGGAGAAATGTGAATTTGCGAAACAGTCACTTCAATATTTAGGGTATATAGTTGATAGTGAAGGCCTACGCACTAATCCCGATAAGGTCAGCGCTATTTTAAACTATCCGCAGCCAAAGAACTTCACAGAATTAAAGCGTTTCATAGGTCTTGCCAGCTGGTACAGACGATTTGTGGAAAACTTTGCGATTGTAGCAGCGCCTCTCCATGATTTGACCAAGGGGAGCAAGAAAGGCAAACAAATAATCTGGACAGAAAAAGCTGAAAAGGCTTTTTCAGAACTTAAGACTGCTCTTACTTCAACACCTGTTTTAAGCGTTCCAGACTTCAGTCTTCCCTTTTCCGTTCAGTGTGATGCATCTAGCAAAGGTACCGGTGCAGTTTTGTTTCAAGAAATTGATGGCCAAGAGAAGCCTGTAGCGTACACTAGTAAGAAACTCACTGAAAGAGAGTGTAAGTACTCAGCCTCTGAAAGAGAATTACTTAGTGTTCTACACGCAGTTGATCAATTCAGACCGTACATTGAAGGCAGCCATTTTAAAGTGATTACTGATCACAGTGCCTTGCAATGGCTTCACAAGAATAAGGATCCCCATGGGAGATTGGCAAGATGGGCCATGCGTCTACAACAATTTGACTATGAAATTGTTCACAGGAAAGGCACAGAGAATGTTGTTCCTGATGCGCTATCGAGAGCAACTCAGGAAGAAATAAATCTCGTTGAAATTTCAAATGAAGATAAAGATGAGTGGTATAAGTCAAAAGAAGAAATTACTCGGAACGGGGCTAATTCTTCTGATTGGACGTTATATAATGACAAGTTATGGAAATATTTAAAACTGAAACAATTCCCTGAAGAAATGGATAGTTGGAAGTTGGTAATACCGGAAAAACTGCGTTCCAAAATTATGTCTGAATGCCATGACTGTCCTACTGCGGGTCACTTGGGTATCAAGAAAACGATAAATAGGGTAAGGCAGCGCTATTTTTGGCCAACCTTGATCAAAGATGTTAAGAATTATGTTCGTCAATGCTCAACATGCGCGAAATACAAACCTTCGCAGCTAAAGCCTAGTGGTATGATGGGTGGTCAACGTAGTGTCACAAGACCGTTTCAAATGATTTCGATGGACCTGATGGGGCCATTTCCACGGTCAAAATCCGGCAACACCATGTTACTAGTTGTGTCATGTTGGTTTAGCAAGTTCTGCCTTTTGTATCCTCTCAGGAATGGTAAAGCAGCTAATATCACTAAGATTTTGGAGGAACAAATCTTTCTACTGTTTGGTACTCCCGATGTTATAATTTGCGATAATGGCAAACAGTTCACATGCAGTTTATTCAAGGATCTTGCAGCAAGCTATGGTGTTGATTTGTGGTATACCCCATATTACCACCCTCAAGCAAACCCCACTGAACGAGTGAATAAAGTAATAGGTACAGCCATTGCTTCATATGTATCTGATAACCACAGGGAATGGGACAAATACATTCCACACGTGGGACACGCCATTCGTACCGCTGTTCATGAAGTGACCGGTAAAACACCTTCGTACTTATTCTTTGGACGAGAGACATGTACGCACGGTAGGAAGCCTCACGACTTAGACAACACCACACCACTCGCCCTTGACAGATCGCACTTCGATGATCTTTTGGAAACACGAAAGGCCATTTATAGAGACGTGGAAAAGCGGCTTAAAGAAGCTTATGAAGTCAACACCAGACATTACAACCAAAGACGCAGAGTGTGCAATTACGAAATTGGAGATGTGGTTTGGAAACGCACCAAGTACCTGTCGAACGCAAATAAAAACTTCATGTCAAAGCTTGGTCCCAAATTTGAGCAGGGCGTCATCACAGAAAAGCTCTCAGGCGATGTCTACAGATTGAAAAGCCTAAGAGGCAAGGATTTGGGAAAATGGCACTCTTCAGACCTCAAACGTGCGATATAGGCACATGTCTATATGGAATCCTGGTCGGATTCTTTTGAGGAGAGGGGATAATGTAATGCTCCGCACTTTCAATAGATGGCGCTGCTATGCGCGTTTTAACGTAGCTTGATATGTTTACCTTTAGATTTTATGTGAGGGTGTTTTCACTTTTCTCGAACGATTCGCGTCATGGAGTAACGACAATCGACACAGATCTCCGCGATTAATTTTGGTTTTACTATCTGAACATTGGCAAATCAAAATATAATTGTCTGAATATTAGGCAACTTCAGTAATTTCTTCCGCTACATTAATTTAAGTGTTGTTTACGGCCACGGGGTGAGTTTTAGTGCGTGATCAGCGATCGCTAAGTTCCTTAATACTTCCTGCTGGATTTCTGTAAGTAATCTTTTCGTATTTTGTTCCAGTCTTTCGAAACGCCCTTTAACTCTTTCGCAATCACCCTTTTACTTACGTGGTGGACGGCAATAATTTGCTTAATTGGAATTACGGACACCTTGAGGCGAAGCATAGCCGTTAATTCAACGATCGTCTTGAAGCCACCGCAGCGCGGCGGTAGTGCGCTTGCCTTCCGAGCAAAGCGGCTCGAGTTCGAATCCGGACGGAAGTCTCTTGAATATTTTTGTTTTTATTTTTGAATTTGTATTTCATTTCACTCTGTTTTACGATATTGGCCAACGGTATATACACACAAAACTTGTTATGCTTGTCAGTTGATCTCATGACAATATACTACCACTTGGTTATTACTAAGCTTTGGTTTTAATTTAAGTCATCTATGAACCCGATTCTAAATCATCACAATGGCAACTTAGACGACAGCCCATACAAAAACCATGTCAGATGCTTTCAGGTTATAATCAAACAGGCGGTTAACAATCGGACATTAGGGACCATCGGGTCTATCGTTGTTTCGGTATCTCACACAAAAAGAAGCATAAAGTGTACTTACATCAATCTGCCGAAGTTGTCATCGCAGAACAACGTTTCAGTTTCCTCCTTTCGCCGAAACCGTTCGATATCCACTTTGTCTTGATCCACGGCGCGTCTCAACCTGCGCCCTTTGGGGCCAACGTCGAATTTCACGTATATCGACATTTTGCTGTCGTTTTGGTATTTGAAATGTGTTTCGTAGTTTCTAGGAAATACAAGATCAACGAGCGATCTAGATGGTCGCGAAAATGAGACGGTTTTGCTTTAGTTTAGTTTGGGCAAGTTAAGCCCTTGATCATGGTAAGTATAAAAAGATACTCCGCCTGGTATTCCATTCCGAGACTCGTGAACCACGTGACTAACACAAGACTAGGTCATCATGTTTGTGGGTTACCAGAATTACCCATTCTTATGATGTTCATGGTATAATAAGATACTCCGCCTGGTATTTCTTTCCGAGACTAGTGAACCACGTGACCAACACAAGACTACGTCATCATGCTTGTGGGTTACCAGAATTACCCACTCTTATGATGTTTTTTGTAAATCATTTATGATACTATTAACTAATAAATACAATTGAAGTTTTGTTGTAAAGTTCAAGTTAATACACACGTAAATCTAAATTATAAAATTATTAAGAAATATTTTAACCCATTGTTCTGAGATTGAATTTACCCCATAACGTATTTTATTGAAATAAAGTGGCAATACTAAGTGACGTTGTCTTGTGTTTCTCTGGGAAGGAAAGACCATGTTTTATTAGACTATGATGATGTTTTTTGTAAATCATTTATGATACTGTTAACTAATAATTACAATTTAAGTGTTGTTGTAAAGTTCAAGTTAATAAACACGTAAAAGTCAAGGTAAGACAAGGAAATTTTTACGTGGTTGGATGGTAAATAAGTTTCTTGTGTAAAAATCATTATTGTATGGCATTAAAAAACGGCTGTATGTGTTAACTAAGTTAGTATAGAAATGTTAGTAAAAATTGAAAGATCAGTAATTTTAAACTATGCAAATATATTACAACGATAATTTACAGGTTTTTATAACTAAGAATTACAATAATAAATGTGCAATGAGATAGTGCGTGAATAAAATTAAACCAAAACGTCACTCTTCAATACTGATAATGATAAAATTAAGTAACTACCCTCACTTTGTATTGAGATTTTTATGCACTCACAGTGCTATATTATTCTCATAAATTGAAAATAAGAAAATTGAAAAATACATCAGCGACCGCGATCATATCCGGTTCGAAATCCTACTGTAATGTGGACTAACCAAAGTATTTAGTTGTAAAAACTACTCCTAGATGTCGCTAGCATCAAGAGGCTGAAAAATTCATCAGCTAGACGCCCGTAGCTCAGATGGCAGAGTAGTGGTAAGGTTCCCCACGGTCCCCGGATTCAAGTCCCGGCGGTCGCTGACGAATTTTTCAATTTTCTAATTTACATTTCACCCTCACTTTGTGTTTTACGAAATTAATGGAAGATGCATGGTCGAGCTGCCTTGAGACGTACATACAGTCAAGCTCAGGCTGGGTTAGACTTTGTACCGTTCTTATACCGTTTATAAAGGGCAAGCTCCAGAGAATAGACGCGCGACGCGACGAGTTACATGACATCTGACAGACAAATGATTGTCATCCATTATTGATTGGACGCGCGTCTCACGTGTGTAGCTTTGTTTCTTCTGTTTCATACATTGTATATGGAAACGGTTTCAAGCGTCGCGATGTCGCACATCTCACGTTTTCGACGATCACATGTTTGACAGATGTCATCTTACGTCTCATGTCTACTCTGTGGAGCTAGAGCCTAAGACTTACATTGCCGGTTCGAGTGTCTAACCGGATGTGAACTTGACTGTACTGTTCTCAATAATCGATTAAAAGTTCATAAGAAAGCAGACAATTTAAGTCAATCTACACGATCTACGTGACTTTAAAAACACTTGTATCCAAGATTAATATTACAATTCTAAACACTTCTGAGTATAATATCTTAATCTTAAAACTTCTCCAAAAATAACCTCCCAAGAACTATCATAATCATTTAGAAAACTAAGAAACTTATAAAACTAAACACACGATATAATTAAAATACTTAAGCATCACAAACGACAATAGTCAACATAATATTATTGCAAATTAAAAGTACTTTATAAGAGATTCTAATATACACAAAATTGCTTCAAGTATTACTGTTAACAGAAATAACTTGATGAATTTAAAAACACAACATTTATTTTTGAATAAAATCTGTTTAGAAACTACAATGCCTTCATACGGTGAAACATGTTATAATGTGGTCATTTAAATAAGGACTCGCATTTCGTACAAATCTAACGCATTATTCGTATATCTAAGTATCGATGGGGTATCAAAACAATACGCTGTATTGTACAGACTGCTCAGTCTAAGGCACAAACGACTGGACTGTATTAAAACCGAAATTAGTTTGTAATAATTCAATTGTTATATTGTAAAGCGCACATTTCAAAGCGAAAGAGTATTTACAACTAGCTACCAACAGACACTCGTCGACTGGTCTAATCCATACCTCACAAAAGAATAGAATAATTTAGCTATGTACGGGTAGAGGAGCTCGAGTACTTCGGATTGGTCGTGGTCTGCCGCGGCGCAGCTTGGCACGTTTGGCGGAGTAGCTAAAAAAGTTGTAATAATAGTTTATTTAAAGCTGAACACATATCCCTCTGCCTGAGTTCTCCGATGCGATCACTTTTCACTCTCAGTAAATTTCAATTTTAAAGGACCTGACTTCGTTTATTAGGAGTGGGCCTGGCCAATAAAATGAAAATTTGTCAGTGTATAGAAGTGAGATTTACAGAGCTGTAATCTCTCAATGTCCAGATGAAGAAAATGTTTTCCCAAGTATTGTATTTTGAAATAATTACTACGAATACATCTGAAGTTGTAGATTCTTGAAATTAACATACTTATTCTTCATCTAGACATTGAGAGATTACAGCTCTGTAAATCTCACTTCTATACACCGACAAATTTTCATTTTATTGACGGGGCCCACTCCATAATAAACAAAGTAAGGGACCTTTAAAATTGAAATTTACTCAAGAGTGAAAAGTGATCGCATCGGAGAAACTACCGGACTGAGCTCAGGCAGACCAGTATATATGTGGGCAGAATAAAGAAAGCTATAGGTACGAGATAGTTTCATTCTGTTCTTCGAAGAAATAAAAATTTCTCTAAAAAAGTAAAAGTGGTCGTATCTGAAAACTGTCAGGCTGTGGTCAGGCAGACCAGTATTTTTCTAGGCAGACTTAAGCAAGCTATCGGTACGACATATTTTTATTCTTTTATTCGAAGAGATAAAATTTTACTAAAAAGTAAAAGTGGTCGGATCGGGAAACTGCCAGGCTGTGGCCAGGCAGACCAGTATATATGTAGGCAGACTCAAGCAAGCTATCGGTACGATATATTTTCATTCTATTCTTCGATGAGATATTTTACTTTTTTAAGAGGGCATACTTTTAGCTACTCCGCCAAACGTGCCAAGATAGCAGAAGGCAGACCAAGATTTATAAGCTTTACTAAACTGCTCCTATCGCTACAGCCATGTCTCATTCTATTCTTCGATGAGATATTTTTAACTTTTTTCAGAGGGCAAACTTTTAGCTACTCCGCCAAACGTGCCAAGCTGCGCCGCGGCAGACCACGACCAATCCGAAGTACTCGAGCTCCTCTACCCGTACATAGCTAAATTATTCTATTCTTTTGTGAGGTATGGATTAGACCAGCCGCCGCTCGGGCTATTAGACGTATTGTGCGCTGACCTTATCCAAAGAGGTTGCAATTTGCGACCTTATATCAACGGCGGCAGATTCTTAGCCCTGACGAGATGCGTGTGCGATTTGGACCTATTAACGGGCGGCGTTTTGACGGACATCGTAGACACAGTGTTTTGTCGCTGCATGTTGACTTTGGTCGCGCTCAGCGGCGCGCGCGGGGTAGCAAACCCTTCATGATCTAGCTTCATGGCAGATCGAGTGAGCCTAGTCGGAGTGCACAGCAAGTTGGACTTGGGAGTCATGAGGTTGACTCCGAGGTGTTGGATGTTCTCCTTACCGACTTTAGGCGTCATGGGTGCCTTCCTCGGTGTTTTTTTTGGGGTGATATTGGGGGTGCGTTTGTCGTCGGCGGCGGGGTGTAGTTTCACCTGCGGCTGTTGGTTCGCCATCGAGCTGCGGCTGATCTTCTTCTCGTCCAAGCGGTCCTGCGAAGGAAAGAGACTGTTAATGCAATCTTTTATCTGTTTTCTTATTCTTAACATGCAACTTTTTTTGACATCATTTTAAATGGAATGCGCCGGAAGAAATGTGAGCCAAACGTGGACTATAAAAGAGACCGTGAGAGGCTTGAAACATTTGAAATACCGTCAATGTGTGTTACTGCCGTGTGATGCCGGCTTAGAATAGCATCACCCCAATTCTACCCGTGGGTGTCGTAAAAAGCGACTAAGGGATATTCATCCAGGGAATGGGCAGCAGCGTTCCTGTAAATGTAACATCTTAGCACTGCGCTCGCCAATCCGCCTGCCAAGCGTGGTGAGTATGGCAATACCCCCCGATAGGGGGAGGCCCATGTCCAGCAGTGGACTGTTGTGGCTGTTATGGTTATGGTGTGTTACTTTAGCCCTAGGGGGGGTTATTTTGACCTAATAGAATTTTGAAGCCTAGACTATTGGGCCAAAGATACCCCCTAGGCCTAAAGTAACCCGCAGTGACTATATGGAATTGAAGAAAGACTAAGAAGATTAGCTGAACTGAGAAGAAGACAAAGGGAAAAAGTTCTTCGGAGAATAAATAAAAAGAGGAATTTATTTATTCTCTTAGAACAGTGGTTTTCGCCGTAATCGCAGCACAGTGGACCAAATCTTTCTTTCTAAGCAGCTTATGGAGAAAAAATGGGAGTATGCACAAGACATCCACTCTCTCTTCGTCGACTTCACCAAAGCATTTGACAGTGTGGACAGGGAAACACTTTTTATAGTGTTAAGATCATACGGCATCCCCGAAAAGCTGATACGCATCACCAAAGCTGCCACACAATATAGTAGTATGAAGGTTAGAGTAGGAGGAAATCTCACGGATGCCTTCGAAGTGATCACAGGGCTAAAACAAGGGGACGCGCTATCACCTATGCTGTTTAATTTGATGCTCGAATACGTAGTCCAAAAAGTACTAGACCACGGTGATGGAGTTGAGTTAAACGGGACGCACAAAGTCATAGGTTACGCGGGTGACCTCGCGTTGATGGGAAGAAGTGCGGCAGACGTGAGAGCAATGGCCGGTGCACTGGAGTCGGAAGGTAGAAAAGTAGGTCTCAGGGTTAACCAGGATAAAACAGAATACCTCCACATGAAAAGATTCAGGACAACCAGGACTAAGAGAAACAACCTGATAGTCAACGGTACCTCCTACAAAGGGGTGGACAAGTATAAATACCTTGGTTGCACAGTCACGGACACGAATCAGAGGGAAGATGAAATTAACATCCGCATTCAAAATGCCCTAAGGTGCTCAGCAGCCCTTCACAAAGTGTTGACGTTGAAGCTTATAAGCAGGAGAACCAAGATTTGCATCTACCTACAAGACTGTTATTAGACCCATACTGATGTACGGATGCGAAACCTGGACGCTGACCCTGAAGGAGGAAGAAAAACGGTTAGTGGCAGAACGAAAAATACTGCGGAAGATTCTGGGACCTGTGAAGAATGAGGATGGCATCTGGAGAATCAGAAAGAACAGGGAGATAGAGGAAATAGTCCGTGAGCCCAATATCATCGGGGAAAGTAAAGCTGCGAGACTGCGCTGGCTTGGTCATGTGGAGCGGATGGAAGAGGATCGAGCGGTCAAGAAGGCATACCTGGGCCGGCCAACGGGCAAGAGCCCGGTAGGTCGACCAAGATATCGCAGGACTGATGAAGTTATAAAAGACCTGCACGCACTCCAAAAGCCTGATTGAAAGCAAACTGCGCAGAACAGGGAGTGGCGTACAGTTGTATCGGAGGCCAAGATCCACTTCGGGTCGCTGAGCCAGCGTAGTTGTAGTTGTTTCTTAGAACAGTAGACGGAAAATGATGGGAAACCTGATGCGGCACGATCATCCCCTGAAAATCATAGTGAATGAGAAAGTAGAAGGCACTCAGTGGCAAAGGGTAACATTTTAACGACGGCAGGCCTGAGGCAAAAACCAGTGTATTATAAGCCGACGGGAATCGGTATGTTGCCTTCGCCACTGGAAGGCAGAAGTCGAGGCCCACCAAGACGAAGGCAAGACGCAGAATAGATGAAGTAGTTACCTTGAAGTCGGTGTAGGTGGTGAGCATGGTGGTCTCCATGAGCGGGTCCCGAGTGTCGGCGGAGGCGGCGGAGTGCGTCGTGCT